ACCTTACAGTTGATATAAGCCAGGGATCCAGGCACAGCTTAGGTGTGTCCTTTGAATATGTCTGTCACAATACTGTGGTTGTTTTAAGACTTGATTAGAAAAGATCTGCTTCTTAGTTCATTCTCATGTTACTTTCAGGGCATAGTCTTTCATGAGTTGTTCAGCTAAGACTACAGTTGCTTATGAACTGTTGGCTGTAGGCCTCCTTCATTTTTATCCACCATAGAACATCTCACAGAATGGCAGCTTACTTCATCAAGATGAGCACAGTGCCTACAAGTCAGTCTTTTGCAACCTCTTAAAAATGATGTATCTTCACTTTTGTTCTATTCTGATTGCTAGAAAGAAGTCAGTAGGTTCAGCTCACCTCAAGGTGAGCAGATTTCCCAAGGGGGTCTTGTCAGAAGCTGTTCACATAATTTCAACCTAATCTATTATAGTGCATCACCTCTTTGGGGGGATTATCCAATTAAATTGTCCTTTTCTCCAAATGATGAGTTCTGTAGTAACCTCTTGGGACATAGAAAAGTACGTAGAGAACCACTGGAACCACAAGTCAGCATCTGATTTTGTAAACTGTTTTTGATCTAATTAATGTGATCTGTCCTTTGCTGAAATTACGTGAAATATATATTCATTTATTGAAGTAAATCTAGATACTATATGAAAATTCACTGATAGACTGAAATCAGAGCAAGCACACCTACACAAGTACATCTTTCCTCCATTTTCCCTCATTATCCAACTCTTGAGTCCTTGATGTTTGGGAACTCAGCAAAGCCAGAAATCAGTATGGCTATGTGTATTTTATAAATAGTTGAAGACAGCTAGATGAGTTAACCCTGGAGAAATCTTCACTGTAGAGGCTGGTAGAATTTTCCACCTGAATTTCTAGTCCTTTATGAATGATTTCCTTACTGTGGTAGATTTGCTAACAGGCCTATTATATGTAGTAGAAACAATGGTTATATGGTAAAAGCTTCATTTGCTTTGTTAGTCTCCAGATATATGCTTTAGATGCAGTTACTTGTGTGTACATATGTATCTAATAAGACTGAGTTCACAAGTTGCATTTTACTGAATTGTTTCCATAGAAAGAAACTGAATATGAGTTTATCTTTAGTAATCCAGTTTGGGGTATCCCAGTAGTCTAACCGCACACTTAGAGCATTAATATTGTATGAATCTATATAAAGTTATGTGTAGTCAGTTCTAAGGTGTTATATTTCCTGACAGGCAAAAATACAATGTATATCTTTACAACCAATGGATGTAGCATTACTTTAGGTTCATTCAGCCTTAGAACAGGCTTCTTTATAAGCGAATTGTTATCTTTCAGGTGTTAAGTCTTAAAGGCCCTCGTTAAACCAGTGGTTTAGATAAAATAGTAGTTAAGGCTGTTGCAGTGTCTAATGCTGTGGTTCTCAAATTTTTTCGGTTTATGTTATTCTTAAAGTCACAAGATTTTTCACTTTATCCCTAGGCTAAAAAGATGCCTAAAAGTTCTATTCATTAAAGTCAAATAAGTCAGTTTTATATATATGTGTGTGTGTGTGTGTGTGTGTGTGTGTGTGTGTGTGGTATTATATAATTTTAATACATTGCTGTATTATATATATTATAATTTTAATATATGTAATTTTTAAAACTAAGGTCTCAATTCTTTGTCTTCTAACATCCTAGGAACTTAAAAAAATAATGCATGTGCTTTTTCCTCAAGTAGTTATTTCATGTTTAACTGCAAAGTACTTGCTAATGGAATGTGTGTACCTATTACACACTGCACAGCTTGGAATCACATTAGACACTACCTCATTTCCTGTTTCACATTGATCTTCACATATTCTTGCTTTTTGTCAAAACAGCTGCTTACACCCAGCTCTGCAAATATGTTATCAAACAGAATGTAACATGATATAACATGTTAACTTCAAAACTGCCTTCTGCATCCAGCTAATATTTCACAGTGTCCAGACAGATAACAATTATGAATATACTTATCTTTAAATTTTAAAATATTCCTTGGTGACTTCACTACAGCGTTCAGGGGTGTTAGCCACTATTTGGAACTATAGGTCTAATAGGTGTGCAGTTAGTGACTAAGCTCTTGAATGCTAAGTTTAGTCCTTAATTAGAGGTGAAATTTTCATATTACAATGGAATCCCCAGGCATCCAGTGATGTACTTTCTGTCCATAAGGATTAATTGGTCATATGGTAAATTCTGTCATTTTGTATTTAAATTCTATCATTTATTTTGACCTGGCTGCTTTCACTCATCATAATTAAGATTGAGCCGTGCTATTGCACGTGTCAATAGATCCATTCCATTCTGGTGTAGAACAGAGGATATGCCATAATCTGTTGACCTGCTGATGAACACTTGGATTGTTGCCAGTTTTTGCCTAGTACAAATAAAACTGATATGAATTTTATTCACAAGTGTATGTTTAGATACACGTTTTCATTTTACTTGGGTAAATACCTAAGAGTGCATTGACTACATTATATGGTTGATGTTTGCATGGCTTTAGAAGCTGACATAGTGTTTGTTTTTTTGGTTTTTTGGGGGGTTTTTTTGGTACCGGGGATTCAACTTGGGTCCTTGCGCTTGCAAGGCAGGCCACCAAACTGCTGAGCTAAATCCCCGGCCCAAGACTGTTTTTACAAATTAGTTGTACAGTTTTACATCCTCACCAGGAGTATGAGTTCCAGTTTCATTATTTTCTTGCCAACACATAGTATGTTATATTTTTTCATTTTAACATTTCCAAATAAATATGTGGTTTTATCTTATTATGGCTTTAATTTTCATGTTCATAGTGAATTTTCATGTTCATAATGAATTTTCATTTTCATAATATGAATATCTTTTCATGTACTCATTTGCCATATATATATTTAATGAAACATCTGTTCAAATATTTTGCCCATTTTTAATGAGAGGAACTTCTTGAAAGTTCTATATATATTCACAGTACTAGGTCTTTATTGAACAAATGATTTGCAAGTATTTTTTCCCAATTTGTAATTAGTCTTTTAATTCTCCTCACAGTGCATTTTAAAGAACGCATTTTAAATTTTAACAGAGAATAATTTATCAATTTATTCTTTCATGGATCTTTCCTTTAGTATAGCTAAGAAATCTTTGTTAAACCCAGAGTAACAAAGATTTTCTGGGATATTTCCTTCCAGAAATTTTAGTTTTAGCTCTTATATTTGGGTCTTTGCTGATTTTTATATGATACCACATATGACATATATGTCAAAGTTTAATATTGAAAAGACTGTCCTTTTTTCCATTGAATTACTTTTACACTCTTGGCACAAACCAGTTGCCCATGTATGTGTGGATCTATTTCTAGACTTTGTATTGCACTGATTTGTCTACCTTCATGCAAATATCATAAATACTAAAAACTATAGCTTTTTATAATAAACCTGAAAACCAAATAACATTCATCCTGTAACTATTGTTTTATTATAAAGTTGTCATGGTGTTTTTGTTGGTTGGTTGGTTGGTCATCCCATTCCGCCCCCACCCCACTCCTATATTTGGGTTTGAACCTAGGCCTAGCTACATCTCCAGCCTTTTTTTATTTTGAGACAGCATTTCCATATGTTTCCCATGGTAGTCTCGAGCTCATTATCCTCCTGCTTCAGTCTCCCAGATTGGTGGGATTACAGGCATGTGCCCATTATGCCTGGCCTACAAAGTTTTGATGATTATAGATTTTTTATATTTCCATATGAATTTTAGAATCATCTTGTCATTGTCTACCATTTTTTTCTCAGAGTTTGGTTAGGCTTGTTTTGAATCTATATATTAGTATAAGCACATTTTAGCAAGCTACTCTTCCAACTCAAGAACACAGTATTAATCTATTAATCTTAATTTATATCAGCTATATTTTATATTTGTAGTATATATATAGGTCAACTACATCTTTTGATAGATTTAATTATTATGTATTTAAAATATTTCTAGTCAAATGCCTGCATCTAGCCTTAGGGCACCAACCAGATTCTAACAATTTCTGTTATTTCTGGACCAGTAGAAGTTAGACCAAATTACTTGTAATTTTGCTTCAAGGTCTATAAGTGGAGTAGAATTTAAGAGCAGATTATAGAAGATAGTGGAGCCAGGTCTTCCAAAGATTCATCTTAAGTGAAGAGATTCAACCCCAGGTAGGTGAACTTCCAGATTAGATCAGTGAGTTAGCCAGATGTGGAAAAGTCACCACAAGGCATTTAGACCTTCATGGAACACTTTGGACAGTCTCCATGGCTTACACTGGTCATCTAAGTACTTTCTCATCATCTTGTTTTATTGCTCTTGGTCATGCTGGTAGATTTCCTTTTCTGTCAAGTCACAGGGGAGTCATTATAGCATTAATGACTTTTTTCTAGGGCATCACCAGTGAGAATGTCTACAGCCTTATAAAGGTACTATTAAATGTCAAGTTCCAATTCCCCCAAAATTGTGGATTCCCTCACATGCAGGTGAATTTTCTGGGGCTTACCAACTGTTTTCTCTATATGAATATGAAGGATGTTTGTTTATATATTAAAAGATCTTGAAGATGTGATTGAGATTCTTTTTCTCCAAAGGATAGGAATTGTTGGAGTAGAAGGATGGCTTTTATAACATTTATTATCTAAAGAGAGGATTAATGGAACATGTAAATGTCCTTTTTGTATTCTAACTATAGAATAGAATAGTAGTGCTAGCCCTCCATGGGCACTCAAAGGTTACTAGACCCAATCCAGTGAAGATACAGATAAGGAAATTGAATTCCAGAAAAGTTATTATTTTTTCAAGATTGTATAGCTGCTTTGTTGCTATTCTATGAGTATAAAAATGTTAGCATTCTACAATTTACATCTGACTAAATTATGGGCCTGATAGATTAGGAGTTGACAAATTAGTTACCAATAGGCACTGATCAATTGAAATCTTTACTACAGTAGATCACATCTAACTTTATCTTTGTATTTCAGGACTAAAGAGTGAAAATTGTGCTGAGAACCAAGGTAAGATACACTTTAAAGTATTATCTCTGCAGTGAGAATTTTATTAGTGTTATTCTCACAAGTATGGGTCAGAGCCACTTCACCATTAAACTGGCAGCCATTGTTTTCTCAAGGCTAAATTTTACTATTTTTATTGAACCTAAGTCTATTTACCCACGGTTGGAAAGTCAGTACTCAGGAAACACAAGTTGATAAGAAACACAAGTTGACAAGTTGATAAGTAAACCAAGTTTATTCCTGAATATGTTAAGGGAATGCTATTGTTTCAGAGCTTCATTTTAGGGAACTCGGGTATGTGACAGGCTTTAGAGGGGAGGGAAGGAGAGTGGGGGTGTGATAATAGACAAGAAGGATGTATTTTGAGTCATACATCCAAGCTAAATAACAATTTTTATCACTCTCTTTTTTTTTTTTTTTTTTTTTTTTTGGTACCAGGGATCGAACTTGGGTCCTTGTGCTTGCAAGGCAGGCAGCAGAACCACTGAGCTAAATCCCAGCCTGATTTCTATCACTCTTAGAATTATTTTCCTTTCTTTTTTGCAAGAATGTCCTTGTGATAACAACAGACGTTTATTTCTTAGGCCAGTCCTTGTAACTCCTTAGACAAACACATTATGGCCCTACAAGTTAAACATCATTTTCCTTTTTTTTGTTGTAGTAGTAGTAGTAGCAGAGTTAAATCCAGTGTCTTCACACTCAGATACATTCCTACGCTTTTTTTTGTATTTTATGTTAAGACAAGTTCTGACTAAATTGCCCAGGCTGGACTTGAACATGCCACCTTCCTGTCCCAGCCTACCAGAGTGCCAGGATTGTGAGTGTGTGCTACCATGACCAACTCATTCTACTTGTAATTAAAGAAATTTACCCATACTTTGATTTTGTCTGAAGACTCCCAGAGGTTCTGGGTTCTGAAAGGCTAAAGAAAGTAACTAATTAGGAGGTTCTAGGACCAGCGCTTTTCTAGTTCCTTTCCTATATTAACTGACTCTAACAATCAATGTTTTCATGGTTTTCTTTAGAATTTACAGTACTGGCAAAAAGGAAAAACAAAAATAACTTTACAAGTAGAAATTTGCAAAACAGCAAATGTAGAATAGAGTGCAACAGGACATAATAGTGTAGTCATTATCACTGTTACACTGCAATTAGTGGCTTGCCAGGCCCGTTTCATACTCCCTACCCTTCCCTTTGGCTATTCTCTGCAGTGCCCTTGGTTGTGCAGGAACATGCCATTTTTACCCTAGTCTGACCATACAGGAGCTTACCTGAATGCCCTTATATCTTTAGCCCTTTCCCACAAGCCTTATGCAAAGAGCTATACTACAATTTCTATTTTTGATTTTTTCTTTTTGACATTCTCACTATGTAATTTGGGCTAGTCTTAAATTCATTGTGTGGGCCCCAGTGATCCTCCTGCCTCTGTCTCCTGAGTGCTGGGATTACAGATATGTGCCACCATGCCCATTCTGTTTTTGATACTTTAGGAAATAGCATTCAGGAGATTAATGAAGGAGTGGAATGAATATGCCTCACATGTAAAGGATGAGTTGACAGAATGGTACTCTTTCTGCTTCCTCAGGGAAAAATAGGATATAACGAAAACTAATCTTTCTTGGAAATTTTTGGGAAAGAAGATAGGAAATTTTATGAGTATTTTGGAATAGCATTATCAAATGAATCTAATAGATTGGCACCAGTGTTGCCAGAAAATGCCTCAGATTGTTGCATGCTCTCAAAGGATCCTTTTGAAGATTCCTTTATTAAAAAGTTTGAAAACATAGGTCTGTTTATACTGTCTTCCTAGGGCTAGCTTTTCTGTGAATGCTTCATATAATTCAAATGTATCCATCCAGGCATGGTAGCACAAATCTGTAATCCCAGTATTCTGAGAAGCTGAGGCAGGAGGATCACAAATTAGAGGCCAGCCTGGGCAATTTACCAACTCACCAAGACCCTGTCTTAAAATTTTAAAAGAAAAAAAAAAGAAAGTGGTGATGGAGTGGCCTAGGAATGTAATGTACCTTGGTGTGAAGACCTTGGGTTCAAATCCCAGTGCAGTACCTAAAAAATAAAGTGCATCACTTGTCTTTGAATTGAAATTTTATATTTCTTCAAATGCCATATTTAATATGTTTCTTAAATGTAAGACAACTCAAGTCTTATTTGTAAGCATTTAAAAGTAGACTGAAGAGCCAGCAGGGTGATACATGCCTGTAATCTCATAGCATTCAGGAGATTGAGGCAAGAGAATCTCTTGAGTTAGAGGCCAGGCTAGGCTACATAGTGAGTTCAGGGCTAGCTTGGACTACATAGTGAGACCTAGTCATTAAAAAAATAAAAGACTGAAGCTGATAATTCACATCTAAGCATAGTAGCGTGTAATGAAAATATTTTTATTTCAGAATCTATTCAGCCTATCTATGTCTACAACCCTGGTGAGTAGACTGTAATTTTTAAATATAATTCTTTTTTTTTAGTTTTTTTTATTGAGTTTATTGCTACAATCTAGATATACAATACAGTTACATTCATCATTGGGGTTCTGTACCTTTACATAATAGGTCTTGATTCTCATTTTTCCCCTTGTCCCTGCCCCCCCTTCACCCCTCCTCCCCTCCCCATTTCCAAACACTTTATTTCCGTTTTTTCAGTTTCTCATATTTTTTTCCTCTCCCTTATTACCTTTCCCCCACCCTTCCCACTTTCCCTATACCTTTAGCCTTTACTTCCTATTTCACATTATTAATTATCTCATTAGGATCCTGTGTACTATTATAGTTTTTCACACCAAAGAAACTGTTCGGTATTTCAGTTAAAGAAATCTCTGTATGAACATTAAAAATAGGGAATCCTAAAATAAAACTAAAAAGGAAAGTAAAAGAGTCAAGGCAATTGATGTGGCATTAAAATAATCCTTAATTCTGGGGATGAAAATGGTCCCTGAACATATTTAAATTGCTTCTTGCTCTTATAGTCTTTTCTTATTCTTTTTTTCATTATTTAGAGAATACTTTATTAGTTTCTGTAATCAAACCCACATAGATATGACCTTACTATTCAATACAGTGCGTTACACCTGTACACATGGAAAAAAAATAAAAAATAAAAAAATAAATAAATTAACATTTCTAGACCAATATGGCTGTCCATTTCTGTACAATGCCAACTCAACACAGTAAATTGGGATGACTTTTTCCAAAGTTGGCAGCACCATTAAACTTTCCCAAAATTCAATTTATATATATATATGCATATATATATTTATATTAAATATAATTCTTACAGGGATGTTTAATAGTTTTTCCTTATGTAGCAAATGCATTTCTTAGCTGAATAAAAGATGTACTTTGTATTTTAAAAGTAGTAATTTGGCAAGTATGAAAGAATCAAACAACCTGTTCTGGGAAATTTACCTCCACCTAGTGGGAGAGTTGGCTCGGTGGAGATTTGAGTAATATGAAAACTTTCTGGGAAATAAGGTTGGTTGGACCTGAAGAGCTAGTCACCCATGACCAAAAGCAGGAAACCCTGTGAGGTAGTGCTCTGTATTCAGCTGTTGCCTGAGATTAGCCTATGTGACACGAACATTCAAAGATAAATAGAAAACAGCTTATTTGCAACTCTCAAATATGCTTATGTGTGATATGTTCACTGAGAATAAAAACCCTAATTGAGAACAGAGAAAATTAAATCTATGTGGGGCCAATTAGAACTGCTATCTGGGAAAACACCACTTCACACAATCTTGAAAATGTACTTTGAGATTTTACAAAATGACAGCTGCATTTATAGTTTTAAACTGCAAGAGTGTTAGAAATTAGATCGCTTACTTGCCAGGAATTATGATCAGTGGTGGCAAAAGTTCAGATGTCTGTAAGAAACAGAATGAGTGTGGTCTCAATTTCTGATAGTTTGGGAGGAGTTTGTTGTACAGAAAGTCAGCAGAGGTTAACAGTGTTTCAGAGATCCACTAATATCTGGGAGTGGAGGTATCTATTGGGTTGTGATCATAATGGCATCCCTACTCTCTTCCTCTTCCTCCTCTTCTACCCACTTCCTCTGCCCCCAAACCTTCATTTAAATTTTGAGACATCAGCATGCTAAATTGCTGGGTGCCCCAGGTTGGACTTAAACCTATGATCCTCTTACCTCAGCCTTCCATGCTGTTGCCATGGGTAATGATGTTCTGGGTGGTTTTCTAGGTTCTTGTGCGTGATGAACAAAGAATTGGAAAGGGGGCTCAGCAGTAATGAAAAAGCAGCAAAGATTAATTTAGGCAACAGAGTGAGCAGGCTCATACCAGCAGAAAGGAAAATGGCAGGAGGACTGAAGGAGTTAAGAATTTAAAATGTTCTGTTGGGTCTAAGGCACCTCCCATTGGTTCAATGTCATTGACAATGTGATTGATGAGGTGCTGAGTCGTGTCACCTATTCACGTAGCTATTAAGCAAGTCCTCCATAATTCTTTGTTATAATTAGATGTATGAGATGCAGTCCACATGCTGAACCTTCAATGAGCTTCAAGTGAAAAAAGGTTACTATAGTTCAGTGGTGTGAACCTATGGCATATATGCTGCAGCAGACATACAGAGCCCTGTCAGCACATGAGCCAAGTTGTCCCACCAGCTAAGCGTAGGATAACAGTTTTTTCTAAACTAAAATCTCAGTATTCAGGTTTAATTGCAGTGTTGGCATTTCGTGATAAATAAATGGGTTTTGAGTTGCAATTTGGCACTCAGTCTCTGAAAGGTTCGCCATGACTGCTGTAGGTCATTTTGTAGAATCTGGCACATATGTGTCTTGGTTTGATGCTTCAGAATATTTCAAGGCATGCTAGAGATCTTTGTCTTTCTTTTCTCTACCTCTGTGCAATAGACCTTAGGACGAAGGTCAGGGGATTGGTCCTAGAGTGTTGCCCAGGTTCATTGAGGTGAATAGTCTCATAACCCCAATTATACTATCTATATTATTGCCCCCAGAGACCTAGTTTCTGAAAAATCTTTAAGGGGTGCTGAGGGTAGAATGGCCATAGAAATAGAAATAGCTATTTCCTGCTGAGTAGGGGCACTGGCCCTACCTATGCATAGACCATGGAACTCTTGCCCTGCCTGATATAGAGGGCTAAGGGAGCCATACTCCTCCTCTGAAGATTTATTGATGACTATAGATATGAAGGTGGATTTTTGTCCTTGGCCTGGATCATCTGTAGTTTCTTAGCTATTAAATGAGAAGAAACAAATTTGAGTAAGAGATTAGTTATGCATGGTCCAAATAAGAAAGTTACAAGAAGCATTAATAAAGGCCTTGTCAAAGGAAATCCCAGTGGCTAAGGGAACTAGAGGAGTTGGTTACTGGATGCTATATTGACCTCTGGGGCCAGATAAACGAAGGTGTATGTTTTGTCCAGTTTGCTGGAAGACACAAGTAGGAATTAGTTCCACACAAGAAAAAAAGTCCCTGAGTCTCAAGACAAATTATTTTCAATAGGAAACATATTTTCCCTGATTATTTTCATTTTCCCAGACAGATACAGTCCCTGCCAATGTAGTTCCAGTCAGAGGCTGAAAGGACCCATAAGATGTATCTGGAGTAGCTCTGCTAGTTTTGTCCTTCCAATGTATGAAATTTATTTTAGTATCCCCTAACACTCATTTAGTTGAGTTGTCTTAATGGCACCAGCAAAGTCATTGGTTGTGGGCTGAGAGCAGTCCTCCCATGGGAATATAGAGGGTCTCCCTTGACAGTAACCTGACACCCTGTTTCTTTACTCTTGTGTGCCCAGTGACTGCTTCTGTGAGACCCACACCAGATTTTTTAAAGGATGGCTTGGTTTATCTGGTTACTGGCATAATCCAGTGAAGGCTTTATTGTTGACATTTATTTGAAGAAAAGTCTTTTTAATGTGCCCAAATCTTGACTCTGGTCCCAGTCTGGAGTCCTCTTCAAAGGGATGCTTGGAACTTAGGTAATGTATGATTAGATATTGAGCCCCAAATGGGTGATTTTGTGGAAGAAACTTGATGAAAACTATTCTGCTAGTACCTGAGAAGGGTAACAGCCTTTTCCACTGAGGTTACCCTGGTCATTTCACTGACTTGAAAATCATTTGGGTTGTTTTAAGGACGGGAAACCCCCCTTGATATTTTGGGTGGTAGGTTATCTTTCCAGTAGCCCAAAGTCAAGCTGGGATGGGCACAACAGTGTATTTTCTGGAGAATGGAGAAAGACACAGCCCCAATCCTTGGCTCACTTGGGGTGAGTAGAATTTAATAAGAGAAGGCTTAGATTTAAGGTTCTGTGTAAATAATCACTGCTCATTATCTCCCTTGGGGGCAAGCATTGAGCCATCAAAGAGGATCCCAAGAAAAATAACAAGGCTAAAGAGGTCATTTTATAACTTGGGGTGCAGATCTCAAAAATGAGTCATGGTAAGCAAGAGTGGAGCAAAACTAGCTACACAAGACAACACAGGAGGGACCCTGTTTCCAGGATGGGCCTGACTTTCACTTTTATTTATAGGGAACATAACAGTTTACTTATCTAACCCAGCAGGTTGGTTGGTGATTTCTTTTCTTTTTTCTCATTAATTTTATTTGTACATTTTAGGTATACAGTATAACGACATTCATCATTGGAGATTGGTACCTTTACATAATATATCTTGATTCATATTTTCCCCATTTCCCCAGCCCTCTAACTCCTCCACCCCCTCCCTATTTCAAAGACTTTGTTTCCATTTTTTCATTTTCTCATATTAATTTCATTGCCTTCTTTCTTTCCCCCTACCCCTCCTACATCCCCTTCCCCTTTGCACCTTTTCTTCCAGTTCCATACTTTATCTATTATACCTTTGAAACTTTATTTACAGTTTGTTTCTCACACACCAGAGAAACTTTTCAGTATTTATACATATGTGTCCTATTTATTTCACTTAGGAGTATTACATCAGTGTTCATCCATTTAACTATATATGTCTCTAATTTTTCATTCTTTATGGCTGAGTAATACTCTGTTTTATTTTATTTTTTTAATCCGTTTTTCTTTATCCAGTCTCCAGTGGATAGGCAACTGAGATGTTTCTAACTTTTAGCTATGACAACCTGTGCTGCCATAAACTTGGGTGCACATATATTGCTGTGGTATGATTCTTTTAATTCTTTAGGGAAGACACCCAGCAGGGGAATAGCTGAGTCAAATGGGACATCTAATCCTAGTTCTTTGAGGTATCTCCATATTGATTTCCACAGTGGTTTGACCTGACTACACTCCCACCAAGAGTGGAGAAGGGTTTCCCTTTCCCTACAGCATCTGTTATTGGTTGATTTCTTGATAGCAGCCATTCTTTCTGGGGTGAGGTGGAATCTCAGTGTTGTTTTCATTTGCATCTCTCAAATGACCAGTGATGTTGAACATTTTTTCATATGTTCATTTCCTA